AGGCAGTACAGTCTTGGAAAGCTCTGCTCGCTTTCGCTTACTCAAGTGAGGGCGGGAAAGCAAGTTCTGGCAGGGCTGCGCAATTCATAAAGGCCTTGACACGAATCGTGTGGAGTGTTTTCGGGACGAATTTCAATGAGGCTCGCATAGTAAACAAAGATCCTTCATCGATTTGTGTGTTCGAAAGGTCAACCTTCTTGAGCAGAATCACAAGCGTGTGCTCCGATGACTTTAAAACTCTGAGGTAACGCTAGTGTAGCTGTCTCTGTTGAGCTGAGGCAACCCAGAGCCCTCCCTGGCAGTGGGCAACAGCTCATCTGGACAAAAACTCTCGTACAGGGTGAATTCGGCAGATTGACACAGCCTCTGAAGAGACCATGCCCAAACTTGGCAGCTGCTGAACCAATTGGCGGTTTCTTCAGTGGTAAGGACCCACTGCAGTGAGCAACACTCATGAAAGGCTCGGCAACCAGGAGCACCATCAAGCAGTTTACAGCTTCGAAATGCGTTGTTAGAGATGCTAACAACTGTGGGCGTGACAATTTGGGGCTGACAGCATGAGTGCCACGCTTCTGGACCAATAAGGCGAATACCTGACTCCGCGAGCATGACGAGCGGCACTCCTGCGAAAGCTCCTGGGACAGCGCATTCTGGATTCACAGGAACATGAACTGCAAGAGGAACTTTGTTGATGGGATGCCCGTCTAAAAGTTCCTGCGAGGGCAGAAATTATTCACTGCAATTCTTGCAAATGATGCTCGTGTTGAATGTAGTGGAGCACCTGAGAGAGTGCGCCGGCTGACTTGAAGGCACGAAGAACGCCGTCTGTCCGGGTCCAGTTGATGTGCACCTTGGAGGCGCCAACAGCTGTGTCACAGATGGGGCTGGACGTCTTCTCAATCCTTTCTCCGACTGACAGCCTCTCCTCTTCAGACTCGCAGTGTCTGTGGAGCGCCAGAGTCGTGTCGACATTCTCGATGGCCTCTTTGGAGACAATGATGAAGGAGGGCCTCATGTTGTCCTTGGCACTGCTAGGCGTTGTTCGGCGATCTTGGCACCCTTCCGGGACAAATTCTCCTCTGGGATGTCATCCCGTTTCAAGAGACACTGGGTCTGAGGAAGGGACCATGAGGCAGCGTGTTCTGATGTTCATGACCCTTGAAAGCAACGTAAAGTTGCGTCACGATGTGTGCAGAGCTTCTTTTGTGCATGATGACATGCAGATTTGAGGCAATAGGTGGGCATTTTTACCACAAGAGTCCGTTTTTGAGGCTTGAGAAGCAAGCTTCACCGCACTTGAACCATGTTTGGCTCAAGTTCAGTACAAAGAGAACAGGACAACGACATTGACGCGTCTTTCTCGTCTGAGTGAGAGAAAACAGAGGACCGTGAAAGCTTGGTGGTTGCTGCGTCGCGTGCACCTGACGCACACGCGCTTGTTTGGTAAGCGCATACACGTATACCCGTCTCGGTGTAAGTTAAGATGCTTAACTTTTGTAGAGGTCGCAGGTTTGAGGTTGCCTTCGCAACCTTGCGGTCGCGCTGGAGGTTTGGAGTTTCGCACTTGGCTTGTTGGCCTTCCTGGTGCAAAAGAGCCTCGCGCAAGCAAGTCATGTTTTGATTCTGTGAAACCTACACAAAAAGATTTCGAGTCAGAAAGTCTCCTGAGCTGGCAGGCGGTGATGTGGTGGAGCCCGACGCTGGACATGACGCGGGAGGCTGTGTCGTTTTTACAATGTGCATGGGGGCTGACACAGCAGTGGGTGGAATTTCTGCGCATTGCGCCCGCTTGAAGAAGCAATGAGCTTTGGGGTGCTGATTGCAGTGGTTGCCTGCGCGTGGACAGCTGTGGCGCAGACAGTTGATCGTTTTTGAAGAACCAGAGCGGCTTCATCTTATTCCGATCTGGGAATTCGGACTGGCCTGAGTCCAAAATGAGCCACATCGTGGATGCCATGCAGGCGAAAGATTAGACGCACACAGGTCTCCAACACGCACAGAGAGAAGAGACAAGTTTAGTGTCGTCATCACTCAGAGATCAACATGTCCACGTCTGTACTCCCAGTGAGCTGACACAGGCGAGAACCTTAGATTCTCGACCTGTGTCTGCAGGCACCGGTAGGATGTACAGTTGGTTGGAACCCAGGTGAGAACCTCAGTTCTTGGCCTGGGGGTGGGTCCGTGCCTCCAACCTTGTACCACACCAGCCTTACCAAGTTTCACCATGTTTCACTGGAGCCTTGCATGATGGGCGAGTCCGCTGAAGTCGATTTTGTTGTCCTGCCAAAGCACTTGCCTGAGGGCTTAGCTGCTGTTAGGGAGCCTGCTTGAGATGTGCTACACCTGCTCCCTCTTGGAGGGAGCTTCGCTAGGCACCGTAAGTGCGCACCAGAAAGCAATGTTGCTGAACTTGGGCTCCGTGGCACTCATTTCAAGCGAGCTTGTGGGAGATCAGCTGATCCTTTGCAATGCTGGACAGAGGCCACCTGACCAAGCCTCAATGAATCTTCAATCTCCAGCTGGGCCTGGGCAGGGGGGGGTGAAAAAAGAAAAAATTGCTCGTGGGATTGGGCGACCTTTTTTTTCGCTCCTGTTGAGATTGGAGGTCTTGGAGAGAAGATCCCCCTCATAGAGGTGATGATCTGATGACGTATGATGTGATGTCCTGAACTTGCTGATAGATGATGGTTGATGGACTTCTGTGTGGGAATGAGAGCTAGCAGCTAGTAGTTTTGCAAAAGCTTGATGAGAGATCTGACAGAGCAGAGCCATGCCAATCGGATCATTGCCTATCAGAACATGGAGAAGGAATGGGGGATTCAGGCTCTATGTGGTGAGGGTGAATACCTTTGCTGTGTGGTCTCAATGGTGGAGTGTGGAAGAGTTTGATTTGGAGATGGGCATATAGCTAGAGAGCACAGGAAAATGGAACTTGCAATGTGGATGAAATGAGATGAGATGAGATGAGATGAAGCATTGGGTGCATCGAACAGCTGGCATTGGGGTTGTGGCTGTAAAGGATGAGAGATTGGGATCCTGACTTTGAGCAAATTGTATTGCTATACAAGCCATTGAGCAATTGCCCCAGACAGCAGCGCAATATGGATGGTGCTTCGATTGGGTTTGTTTGGCCTCCAAGAGCACATGGGCACCATGTGAGAGAGAAACTTGCCAGGCAATGAATGAGGACGGGGTCCATGGAATGCCTGGTGCAAATGGGTTTGTGTGCATGGTTAGGTGGCCCAATGGAAGATCAGAACCAGTTGGGTACAACATTGGTTGATCCTCATGATGCATGCTATTGGTAGAGCATATTTTTGGCACAATTTGGTTTACTTTTGGGTGGGTGTTGGTGAGGTCCAATGAGGTTTTGAGCTTGGGGGTGGCATCACGAGAAAGAATGTCCTTGGCAATGTTGGGTGAATATTGGGAGCATGCTGAGCATGCCAGGTTTGGTACAACCTGACTTCATGTATGTCTATGTGTGGGCAAGAAGGTTGGGGTGAAGAGAAGGTTCTTCATGAGCTTGGGAATGAGTAGTGGCCACACAGCCAATTCAGACCCTTAGTGTATCTATGGCTGGATCGTTCCATGGGCTTCATAAGGTTCTTTGGAAGATTTCGTCGTAGATGGGGGGATATGGAGTATAGACCTGAAGAGCCATTGGGTGAGAACAGTGGAGATGAGCAGGATTGGTCTAATCGAACTTGTGGTATTGGTGAACTCGCAGAATGGTTCCCTATGACCCTGAGAATGAGGATGAGGCTTTCGAAGGGGGCTTAAGCCCCCCCTGAAGCCCCTACGAAGGTCCCCTCCCTCACCCCGCCCGCCGAAGGTACCGAAGCTTAAGCCCCCCCTAAGCCCCCCCTTAAGCCCCTTAAGCGCACCCTTAAGCTGCCTCAAACCACGCTATTTGCAGGTTTTTTGTGGCGGAGAGGGTTTTTTGCTTGGAGGCTTTAAAGTGGCACAACGTCTCTCAAGTTCACCTTCCTCGCTCAGTTTCCTCGCGATGCGCGGCTGGACCGCAACACGCGAAGTCAATTCATGTCCACTTCAGGCACTTCGGGCACAGAGGGCCGGGCTCACTTTGACCGCCCAATCCGCCGTTGAAAGCTCTGATCCCCATTGAAAAAGTGTGTTTGCTCAGTCATGCCACACGTTCAGGAGACAAAATGTGTGTCATCATGTTGATCATCCACAAATTTGTATATTTTCAACATATATCAGCACCTAGCAAGTTCTGAGTGTGCGTCTCGAAAAAAAAACGCTGGTTTTGTGTGTCCATGTTTTCACAGGTTCTTCGCAATGAATTGTCATTTTGCAACTATTTCTTTGTCGGTGACTTTTGGGACTTCCAAAAAAAGGGTCAAACTTCAGGACCATTCATTGGGATATCCAAGAATATGTCGCTCTTCCGCAGGGGTTGGACAGTTGGTTTCGAAAAACATCAAACCAAGCGGGTTGTCAATGGTTTGTGGTGCAGGGCCGGCTAATGAAGTGTAGAAACGATGGCACGCGTGTTTTAACAGTCACGCCTTGTTACCCAGCATTGGAGGAACCGTTCCTAAAAGTTCCAGCGGGCTGGATTTTTGTTAGAAGGCTCATGTATCATCGATGATGGTTGATTGTGTTTTGTGCATATTCAGCTCATCTTGACATGGAGACAGGGTGTTAATTCGGAGAGTGATTCTGCTTGGAGTCAGCCGATGGATGGTATTGAATTTGCAAAAACAATTTATATATTTATATATATATATACATATTTATATTTAGATGCACACAAACCCTTCAATAACAAATCGCCATAGTCCGCCTCCATCCTCATCCGTAGCCAAATGGCTATTGATTTCGCTGAAGAGTCAAAACCAACATATATAACCTTCAGATACTGTGGTTTGGTCCAGAAGCGGTTTGAACAGAACAGTTGGACGTGACCTTGGAAGCGCGCTTGAGTTGCCTTTGTTTTGGTCTTGATTTGCCCCCGCTTGGACCTTTGACCAAAGCTGCTTGGTTCAGATGAGAGAGCCTGTTTTGAGCAGAGGTGCATTGATGGATTAATGCGTACTGCTGTCTTGTTTGCAGGTGTTTGAGGCAATCGAAGGCCTGTTTGCAACAAAACCGTTTGATTCAAAAGGTTTGTCAAAATCATCCAACCGTGCCAGGCGTAGCGAAGACTGATGCAGCTTGATTTGGTGTCCTACTCAGTGCGTTGGGTCTTTCAGAGATGGGTCGTGGAGGTTGACCAAGCCGTGAGTCGAACTGGTAGATACTTCTTTTTGGACAAACTTGCATATGTATATTTATATATTATATAAATACATCTTTTCAAATACAATTTAAATACATGACATAGGTGACAGTATTTGGAAAGAACACTGTTGAGGTCCGGAGACCCGCGGGCCTGCCGGTGCAGGTGCGACAGGAAGATCCTTTGGGGAAGACCGTTTGGGGGTCTTCCGGCGCATATTCTTTTTGTTGGAGAGCTCATTTTTGGGAGATGGTTTGGATGGATGAGAGTGACTGATTTTTTTAAAGTTAATTTTTTGATTTGTTTGACGTCCTTTCGTTTCATGTCACCAGAGGGGTTTGGGAAGATCAGTTTTCTCAATCACCTCGACCTCAAACCTGGAAGGACCACAACCGGCGAGATCTTCGGAAGTAGGGCCACAAGCGGCGGCCAGGGCAGCGTTTTCCAAAAATACTTCATATTGGTCAGTGGGTTTGTTGTGAAGCACTGACGAGTTGATTGCAGGGGTTGCACAATTCAATTTCTCAACCAGTCCACCTTGTACGTAGCGAGCCCGACCGACCAACCTGGTGTGGTGTAGGTCAACCACGGCCATAGAGATCATAGAGCAATAATACCTGGAATGAGCACGAACAGCAATTATAAAACTCCCTGACTCCCTGTGGTCATATAGCAATAATACCCACAGCCATATAGAGAACCCCAAACAGATAGAAGTTCGTAGATCCCCACTCAAATGTCTTGGAAACCGTGCCTACTCAGGCCTACTCACTCCTGTCGGCCCTTGTTTTCTGCCGAAACTGGAGCTACACTGCTTTCAGGCCTTGACTGGCGGGCATCCCAAGGGCGTCGAGCAGGTCCAGAACCTGTACAGTCGGACGGCCACAGATGGGTGTGCGGCGGTGTGTGATTTCGCACCTCGCGGTGGGTGCGAAGGAGGTACTTGCATTGGACAAATCACCCAGATCTTCTCTTGGGGAGCTGTACGAAGGAGGTTTTCTGAGATGAGGGGTAGATCTGATTATGACACTTCCACTCTGGGTGCTTTGGACGAGTCTGGGAGAGGAGTAATCAGAACACTGAAATGGGAGACATTTTCGTTTTGAGTCTGGGGATAGGATGATGGGGTCTATGGGTAGGAACCTTAGGACGTTGGACGCTGTGAGACCGAGCATGACAAGTGTAATTCAGTGGCAAAACACTGGTCGATCAGTTCAAGAGCTACATTGACTATGTAGTCTTCTTTCTTAGAGGGATTTCTCTGGAGTTGTCCCCGCTTTTGTGGGCTCTGAAGTTTTGCTTCGCCCATAGCCATATCCGCTTGCTGGATTATCACACTTATCTTAAGCCACCAAAGTTCTCACACAGATTTGTGAGTTGGAATCTACAACTGATTCTTCATTGATCGGCCACCGCCAAGAGTGGGTCAACCAGCCACCGGACACTTCCAGTTTGTTTTCAGGCATTTCGACTGATAGATCCACCAAAATCACTACAGAAATCCTCATAACAAAGATTGCTTCAGGTCCAGATTCAGACACCAAAGACTAAACCCTGCACCCAGGCACTTCTTTCTGTCTTCGGCACACTCTGCATGCAGCTGAACAACCCCCACACTCAGCGAATGCGCCAGCTCAGTGACCTGAAGGACTCTCTCAGAGCTGAATCCGCCCCTCCCACCACGGAATGGCGGCCGTGGCCACGGCCCTGGCGCCCTGGATTCTTGGAAGCTCCTTGTCGCTCGGAGCAATGGTGACGAACGGGGTCGGTGCGGGTTTTGAGCTGTTTTGGGTAAGACTTTCCGGGTTTTGAGGGTCTAACAAAAAGAGGAGCTTTGAAAGAAGCAGGAAGCTTCGTCCAAGTCGACCTCACCATCTTCACCTTGGTCTTCGGAAGGCAAGTGATTGGTACTGGAACACCTCAAACGAGCTGGAACACCAGGCCACATGCCGATCTGTGTGAAGAGGGCTAGGAGTTCGGCAGAGTATTGCGTGAAATGGTGTGTTTTGTACCTGGGCCACGTAGTGGATCCAAGGTTGCAACCCAAATCGTGGAACGACGCATCTCGCTAAGGCCAGCTCCATCTCCAACTGAGGGTGAACCCGGGCCCAAGCGCCAGTCTAAAACATGGGTTCCTTCGCATATAACTTTTTCATATATATACATAGAGAGAGAGAGACCCCCCTCTATATATACACATATATTGTATATTATGCGCATATATTATATGCATTTGAATAAAGACGTCTAGTCAAACCTGTAGTTTCCCTTGGTGCCACTGTCTCGGTCGCTCGGCTTTCTTACGGGTCTGACGGGTCTCACAAGGCCACCCGCCGGAACAATGGCTTCGTTCGGCCCGAAAAACGGATCTGGGCAGCTGATGAGGTGTGGCACTGAATTTTGGGGCTTCTTTCACAGCCTTCGCAGCCCAGAATCCCAGGCACTCCCCGGGTCAGGTCCGTTCCCACCTCCTCTTTCCCTCCGGTGTCGGTGTCGGTGTCGAGCCAGCGTCACTTCACCGACCGATGTCGAGGATTGGCTTCGACTCGCTGCCGCAAGGCATCGAAGCGTTGCACTGAGGATCTTGATCCTCCTGGCTTACTTGGGGCAAGTGGAGGAGCCTGAGGCAGGGCTTCCAGAGTTCATCTCTACAGATGAGGTGAGCGTGCTTGATGAACATCCTCCACAAATGGAGTGGCGGCCCAGATTGGAATTACGGCCCAACCTTTGGTGGGTAAGGACGATCGATCAAGAAGGGTCCAAACTACTTTCACCATTTTCAGGACGCTTGGATGGCAAAGGTAGGCAAGGCCCCTAAGACATGTTGCCATGAGCTACTTTTCCACTTTCTGCTGGCACTGCTTTGCTGCGGCATTTTTCAGGGCATTGTGCCTGGCTGCGCGGCCTCAGCGTTGACGGAGATCCCGCGAAGAAATCGCTCAGGGTTGACGGAGGAGGAGTTCTATCAGGAGCATGTGGCACGGCTGTGCCCAAAAAACGCGATCGGATCACCGGCTCCTCACAGGGGCGTTGTTCCGCACACGCCATTCTCGCCGTTCTCGCTCATGTTCCGTCTTTCCTCCAAAGGGGTCGGCAGATGACTAGAAGACAGAACTACCAGAAAGACGTGCCAAGCATGTCATGAACCCCAGCCTCATTGAGCGCCCCAGTTCACAAGCGCAGGTCAGTTCACTTCAAAAGGGCCAAACAGATTGCCTCAAGCGAGGGGGGTTGAACTTCCTTTTTCTGCAGCCTTGGGTTGAAGGTCCCCAGAACCCGTTTTGGGATTTCTTGTGACATTGCAAGACCTCGTACCGGAAGCTTAGCCATGGTAAGCAGCTTGGTGCAAGGACCCCAGAAGCTTAGAACCCAAAAGTCCAAAAGTGCCGGGTTTGACACAGGCATGGAGAGCAAGGTTCTGAGGCTTTTCGGTGCTCAACACAAAGAAGTCATGTCCGATCCAGCTGATAGAGCTGAGGTGCTCAAGGGCATTCCTTTGTTGCTGTTCTTAGATGAACCAATGCCCGCTCTGGACGTGTTCCTTTCGGCTTGCGCAGCAACTTGCCGATGAAATGTAAAGCTTCAACTTGACATACTTGGTCAGGACGCCTCTACAAAAGTGGATCTGGGTATGACACCAGTGGTTTGCTACCCCAACAAGAATGCCATTTCCGTACGATTTTCGAGGGAATCTTCCTGGCAAAGTGGTCTAAGTCGACGGAATCACACCCGTCTTTGGCGAACTGATGGTGGGCATCGCTCATGTGGAAGTCCTAAACATGAACGTTTGGTGCGTGGTCAAACTGATATGGTTTTTCAAACAGGAAAAAACCCGTGACGAAAAACGTTGTGTTTTGTATTCCTTCTTTTTTGGGAGGATCTGGTCCAAAAACACACCCAATCGTCTAACCCACAAAGTACAGAAAAAGACCCTAGACCCATGATTAGATTAGATCCTTTCTGAGCTCATTTGGCTGGACCCATGTTTCCAAATGATCGACCTCCCCAAACCCAGCGACGTCCGTCGTTGTGTGGGATTGGTGCGGGTGTGAACTTAGGACCGAAAGCTGAACTTGTTATCGAAACAGCAGGCCGGCCGACGGATCAGTGGTTGACTGGATCAGTGGAGTGGTTGACTGCTTGACACTCTAAACACGTTGGATGCTTGGATGGTTTGCAAGGGCCGTAACCTCAACAGTCACACTGGTCAGGGGTACCTAACTGGAGGTTGTTTCCTGCTTGAGAAGATCCTGGTTGGATGGACCTTTGATCCACCAAATTTACGCGCCACTCATGGACAAACCTGTGGTTGTCTGTGGACAAACTAGGGTATGGACATCCACAATTGCACCATCAAAGTGCAAAAGCCTTTTCCTTTACCACAGACAGACATTTGGACGTTTTCCCACACAGGCTTGGAAGCTTCGAGAAGATGCGCATTTGGTTCTATCACGAAGTCATGGTTTGGGCCCTGCCCACGGTGTAGGGTGATGAAAAGCGGCGCCTGCAGGCAGATGTCCTGCAGGATTTGCTTGATGAAGAGCTTCCCCTGTGGCAGTGGTTGGTCGAAGCCCTAGTCATGCTCCAGCTAATCCATTGAGCTTTCGGGATGAGACCCAGCAGCATCTGCAGGCTTGGGCGCTGGTCAACGAGTTTTGCTGGCATTGGCTTGCCGTGTTCTGTATCGAATATCGAAACACCAATGCAGCCGCGTGTGGGTCTCCATCCAAGGTCTCAAACTTCGTTTTGCTGCTCACCACAGGCGTCGCCTGTCGTGGGGTTGACTCATGCAACGCAGGTCTTTATGAGTTCTGTCCGAAAGCATCCTCCAGCATACCCCCTATGAGGTGGGCCAGTCCACCCAAAAAGAAGGCGTCCGTGATCACGGGAGCAGGGCGTCATGGCAACAGGGGGGACCGACGATGGAATGACCACAATGAGAATGAGTCGAGTCTCGACGATGGCACCTATTAGAGTGAAACCATGACCCACAGCCATGTATCGAACAAACCACATCAATTCGTGGGATCACCGCAGACTGGAGCAGTATGGGCCCGGGACCTTCAGCGAAGGGGGGCTTAAGGGGGCTTCGCCGAAGGCTTAAGGTCTTGGGACGAAGGGGGGCTTAAGGGGGGGCTTAAGGGCAGGCTTAAGGGGGGGGGCTTAAGGGGGGGCTTAAGGGGGGATTAAGGGAGGGTTCGCTGAAGGTCGGTTCCGGACACCCCAACGCTCGCGTCCGCACACCGCTCTGTCGCGTCCGCAGGCAGCACCGCCCGACGCTGGGCACAGCTGCGGCAGGCCACTGCGACGGAGCTCTTCGAGGGACCGGCCGCGGCCAGGCGGGTGCGGGGAGCCAGGAAGGGGGGTGAGAACCGGCAGGACGGCGAAGGCCCCGATTCTTCGGAAAAGTGACATCAACCCGAGTCAAAGGTAGCCCCTGAAGTCTCTCGTGACCTTTATTTCGGTTGTGAAGTGACTGAACCCACTGGGAGAGTGAGCGAGTTCGGTCACGAACGAGAGTGAGCATTTCTGGGATCCCCGTTTTGGAGCACTTTCTTGGGGCTCCCAGCATTCAGCCCGACCAGGTTTTAGAGGTCAACAAACTCCCCTCCAAAAGATTGAACGGGAACTCTTCTCCATTCGCACTTGACCGTTTTTTGTTTCTTTATATAATTCTTTGAAAACACACCAAACATTGTTCAAAGAGTTTTTTCCCCATCACGGCTTCTTCGAAAACACACCATGTTCTATTTTTTCATCTACACGCGGGTCACACGCGGACATGGGTTGGATTCGACGCGTGGGTCGACCCAAAAACCTCCCCTCCGAAGGGTCAGTAGTTGGGTCGGTGTTTGGTGAGACAGGTTCTTCAG